TTGTGGAGTTTCAGTTGCGCTTGTGACGTTTTGTTTGGTCACGTTTGCTGGAAGAACAAACGAGAAGTTTGGAAGTTTCAGCCGTTTGAGGATGCAGAATACGTTTTAGTTTTTTTTGCATGTCCACGGAGTTTGAACCTCACGGTTTTTTTTTGAAACAAATCGAAAACAAACAACCAATTTGTACAAATCAGTTTTCGATGTGTTTGAGCAGACGGCCGTTTTAGTGCCGAAGCAGTTGAAAAGTTGTTTTTTTGGAAGTGTCAGACGACACTCAACTTGAGACGCGTGTGCAACCGCACATTTTTCGTCTCAAAAGGGAGAAGGCTCAAAACGAGCCAGGCTTGGTTCAATTAGGAGTCAAACAGCGCAGGAAACAAGCCTCAGACGTTGTTTCCTTCGGTTCGCTGGAGCAAAAGTTGGAACTTGAGAGAGACGGACTGTGTGTTTGAGTGGAAGGTTTTTTAGTTGTGTTGTTGGGTTTTTCGCCCTTGCTGCCGACCCCAGGGTTTTCGCGTTGCGTCGCGTAGGTAACTTGGGTCTCTAGATTTTCACAGATACTCATAATGGTTTTGCAACTGCAGATGGGTGCGCATACACTGAGCACATGTGCTCATCCTGGGCCCAGACCATTTCTGATTTTGCCATCGCACAGGGATTTACCCCTCCAGCGGAGAACTTGCAGTCAGCAATTGGAGGAACTGAGGGCCAACTCAACCAGATCAACAAGACAATTCTGAAGAGCTTGCCTCGCGGAAGGAAGGTCCCTCCGCTTCTTACAGACTGGTTGGAGCCTCAACTTTTCAACATTGATGGAATCCTTGCCGTCCAGACACTACCTGTGGGTAAACGTGTTCCTGACTCTGCAACTGCTGTCCCACAAGGGTCCAAGTTGGTACGTTTTTCAAATGAAATGGGGGTTGCTGTTGAACCAAAACCCCAACAATGTTTTGGGAGATGACAATGTTGAGACAATGTTTCCGATCTACCCAAGTTTGCGCTGATTGGCATCCCGCGTGAACCAATGGACTTTGTTCGATGTGCCTACAGCCTAGTTCACCCAGTGCTCCGAGCAATGCAGGTTGGGAGCCCGTTGATGGATGCTATTGACTCCCACAGTGATGGCGACAGACTTGGGTTCAGGCGTACTCAATGTGGTTTTTCACAGGCTCTTTTGCGTATGGCGGGTGAAATGAAAGGTAAGGAAGCTAGGCCACACTCTGAGCTTCCTGTGCATTTGCAAAGAGTGTTGAAAGGAGAGCGCCTTTATCTCTTGAAGAAAATGCTGAATGATTGCGATTACCCAGATGCAAAGATCGCTGATTAAATGGTGCTTGGTTTCCCTTTGTGCGGTTGGTTGCCATCTTCGGGAGTTTTTCCCCCTAAGTTGCGGCCGCCTGACATTCATGTAAACCTTGATGAAGATGAGCGCTTCTTTCTCTGCTCGAACGGTGAGCGCAACGAAACCGTCGGGTGACACTGAACCCGATGAGTTCTGGAGTCCGACAGACAAGGGTCCACCTCTCTTCAGAATGGAATCGATGCCTTTCGGCGCTACAGCGTCGGTGGGAGCTTTCTTGCGTTTGTCTCAGGCCATGAAGTGCCTGGGAATCACCAAAGCAGCATAGGTATGGTCTTCTTTCTACGATGATTTTGTGTGCGTATGCTCTGCTTCAGCTGCTGACCAAGTGGATAGAATGATTTGCATGTTCTTTCAAGCTCTTGGGTGGCAGCTTTCGACGGACGAAGCAAAGGAGCATGCCTTCAGTGAAACCTTTCAGGCTCTTGGAGTTGAGTTTGACTTGCGGCACATGCGGGACGGATTTTTCACCGTGGGCAATACCGAAAGTCGCAAGACTGAACTTTGCTGCAATATTGACGGCATTCTTAAAAGCGACACCTTGCAAGTGGCCGAGGCCACATCTCTCAGATCCAGACTTCTTTTTGCAGATGCCCAGGTTTTTGGGCGCTTTGCGAAGGCTGCTCTTCACGAGATTGGGAGGTTTGGCCTGGAATCTTGTGACATGAGGCTTTTGTCAGCTTCAGTCAAGGGCAGCTTGACGTGGCTCAAGGACCATGTCTTGTCCGGTCCTCCTCGAAGGATCTACTATCAAGATTCTGAGACAGATGGCTTGTTTTTGGATGGAGCTTGCACAGATGCTGGTGACGGGAACTCTTGGCGCGGAACCTCCATAGGAGGAGTTCTTGTTTTTCCAGACGGATCAGTGCGTGAGTGCTTTGGTGAGATCCTGCCCCCAGAGTGGATGCATGACTGTGGAAAGGATCAGCAACAGCAGTACATATTTGAAGCTGAGATAATGCCCTACGCCGTGAGCTTGTTTTTTTGGAGGAGTTGTTTGAAAGGAAAATGTTTGTTTGCATTCATTGACAACGAAGAGGCGAGATCTGCTTGGATCGTTGGTTTTGCTTCGACTAAAGCAGCCCAGCATATGTTGCACATAGGGACGACGATTGAAGCCAAGCTGTCGGTGCACCCATACTTTGCTCGAGTACCGACCCATTCAAACTTGGGTGATGCCCCGTCACGTGGAAAGTTTTCAGTTGTTGAAAAATTTGGTGGAAAGAGGACTATGGCCCCAAGGAAACTTTTGGAGCACCTGATGAACCACGGTAACGGATCGTGGGTCCCATTCGAATGCGAGTGGGGCTAAATGGGCGGGAGTTGAACGATCCCCCATCTTTCTGTCGACAAAAGGTGTTGCGTTTTGTCTCACATGTGCATGACCGTTTCGCGAATTCCGTGCTTCGATTTTCCACGCTGTGATTTTTGTTTGATGTCTGAGTTTTTTCCATCACTCACTTTTCGAAACGTTTTCGATTTGGCGCCTCATGAAGGCATTTATTTTTGAGTGTTGATTACACTCCTGCGACGGTGGTGACGTTGACGTTTGCGTTTGATTTCACTACCACGCCCCAGGTTCTTTTATGTTTGGGTCGCGGTGTTTTTAGTTTTGCTTTTGTGGCATGGTGCATTTGTGGTTGGGCGCTTGTTGTGTTCCCCCCCAACGTGACAACTGGTGCAGTACTTGTTCCAATATATGATAAACATTTTGCTACGAAGTATTTACAACTTTATCTTAAGAGGAACAAAGTCGTTTTTTTATTTGTGGCTATGTGCCACTTTGCTCCATGCGACGCGTACTGTGGGTTCTTTTAATGTTGTTGGGGGGTCTCTTGCCTGCGTCCCGCGTTGTGCATGCACGCTGCGCCCAAACACAAAACTTTTTATTTCCAAACTGAAACAATCTCGACTGGTGCCAGTTGTTGTGGAACTTGTTTCATGTTTGGTTTGCACTTCTTCACTGATGTTTTTGGTTTCACTTTTTGTGTTTCGACATGTTTCGAATACAGTTGCTGTGAAACCATTTGCACATCTGTCATTGATTGCAATGATTTTATGATGTCCACTGAATTTTGGCTGCAGTGGTGGGTGGGTGGGTTTTTACTCACCTTTGAGTAGCTTGTTGCACCCACCCACCCTCCACTGCAACAAGCCACTCCCTAGGCCCTAAATGGGCGGGACTTGAACGATCCCCCATCTTTCTGTCGACAAAAAGGTGTTGCGGCTTTGTCTCACGTGTGCATGACCGTTTCGTGAATTCCGTGCTTCGATTTTCCACGCTGTGATTTTTGTTTGATGTCTGAGTTTTTTCCATCACTCACTTTTCGAAACGTTTTCGATTTGGCGCCTCATGAAGGCATTTCTTTTTGAGTGTTGATTACACTCCTGCGACGGTGGTGACGTTGACGTTTGCGTTTGATTTCACTACCACGCCCCAGGTTGTGTTTGGGTCGCGGTGTTTTTAGTTTTGCTTTGTGGCATGGTGCATTTGTGGTTGGGCGCTTGTTGTGTTTCCCCCCTACAACGTGACAACTGGTGCAGTACTTGTTCCAATATATGATAAGTACCCGTAAACGACCTTACTCGGCATTTTCGGCGCGGGCGGATTTATCGTGGTCACTTGTCGGACGGAACCCATATTGATTTTTTTTGGACATGGACTTGACGTTTTCTTTGCCGTTGAATGCGCTGTTTGCTCCCCACATCCTTGACACAATCATGTGATTTTTGTAACTACTTGTTTGTGATGATGTATTTTCATGAGTGCTTGCGTTGCCATGCAAGGTGGTCTGTTGCTATAGTCGTATCACCACGCCACCCGGTCTCAAAACAATTGGATTTGAACTGTTTTCACGCAAAATGTTTGTGAATGTTTTCAAAAATTTTGTGCCATTGTCTTCAAGTGTTTCGGCTCAACTCATGTGTTTGCCGATTTGGAACACAGGGTTGTGAATCAGCCATGCTGTAACAATGTTTTTCAAAATGGTCAGACTGCACAAATTAAGTCGTCAGTTCTTCACTCATTGACCCAACAAAAATGATCATGTGTATGTTTAGCATGGACCTTTGAACGCGCAAAAAATGTATGCAGGTCATGATTTCTCAAGCATTCATGCTGTTTGATGTGCTTCAGGCGGGCACTTGTTGAGAGTCGGATGGTTGCACAGTGTGATAGTAATGTTTGTTGAACCGCACGAAAATGGCGAAGTGAAATTTGATCCAGCAAATGATCAAAATTACATACATACAGTTGCTGAAATTTCCACAGGAAAAATCATTGATGATGTTTGGAAAATGCTTTGAAAGGTGGCATGAACGAGCAGGCAGCAAGACTTTGCGGCAAAAACGTTCAAATGCTCTATTATGCAAAAATGTCAGCGTCATTGACATTCTCTTCAATTTTGCCAGATTCGCTGGTGTGCCTCAAAAAGGAACGGGAAATTGATCAATTGTCGAAATTGGGCACGTTGAATTTACTAGCAACACATATTCGAAAACAACGAAACTGGGTTTCAGTTCGCTGCGAACACCACACCAAGCACTCCGGATACAGCAAATTGTAGTGCAAACAATTTCGTTGGAACAGAGAACGTGTGTTCGTTACACATACTTGAAGTGTGGGAGGGCTGAAACGATCTCGTTTCAAGATTCAATGACGAGACTGCAATGGAGATTGCAAAGCAATCTGCCCAGATTTCCTTGCTCAGAGGGTATGCTTGGCTGGTTTGAAAGAAGTTGCATGGACCAGCCATTGCCTGTACCAGAATTCCTGCTTGTTTTCATGCCAGGAATCCAACCAATCCACCTCACTCTAGAGAGTTGGTGTATGTCTTAATTGCTTTGATCAAACGCAATGGAAGAACTTTTGCAATTTGCCGATCTTAGTGTTGGGCCAAGGAGATTATCGAACTGTGCAACCATCTTGTGCACGGGCAGATTCCGGTGCCCGTTGCTGCCCATTGACACATTTTCTTTGAACCCACCAACTTCAGGCCCAAAGACGACAATTTCTCTACCGTGATGCATTTTCAGGACGCCTTTCCCGGAGCCCAGCCAACATCGCTGACGCGGCAAAAGGTTGGAGAGCAGCTGTTGCAGGACACACGCACAACAGCTGCTGCCTTGCTGAAACATTGCTGAAGCATGCAAACCGCACAGGAACCATATCTTGTCTGTGAAAAAACAGACGGGGAGCGCCACTTGTTGCTGGCCTATCAAGGTCCATAGTGTGCTGTTCGTTCACACGGTATGTTTGCGCATAGTCCGCATAGTGTTTTTTTTGCGTGTTCGTTTTGTTTAGGGATCAGTTGCTGTCCATTCCCTCACATTCTCTCACTCTGGCTCTAGGCCATGTGTATTTAATCGACAGAAAGTGCTGTGTGTGGCATTGCCCTGTCGCACTCTCAGCTCGGATCAGCTTCGCTGCTTCGCTGCTTTGCTCCACTTTCACTGTGAGTTGTTCGGTGACCTCAAGGTGCAGCTCCCTCTGCCCAATGTTTCCAATGGAACTTCCAATGATGAAAGGTCTGGAAGGTGCCACATTAGAACTCGAGTTTGAAGCGACCGTCTGCAAACCAGTTAGCTTGCACATTCCAGGGCACCTGGATGGCATCACAATACGCTCTTGGATGGAGAACTTGTTGTTGATGCTGAAGATGCAGAGGTACCGATTCTTAGCTGCTGCTAGCTTGTTTCGAATGCTTGAGGTTTTTGAACATTTGAGTTCTGCTTTTGCTTGGCAGCAATTCTCAGTGTGATCAGGGAAACCAGACATGCCTTCGGTACTTGGTGTATGATGCGATGCATATTGGTGATGAGGACCTCTTTACACTGCATGTGCTGCATGGACGTATTGATGTCTTGGACTGCTTCTGTTGCAGGACTTGACCCACCGTCCTCTATTGTACAGATTGAAGAAGGCACTCTTTGACGTGATTTTACCAAAGGACTGGATGTTCTCATACCATTTAAGAGTCTTAACGGACTCTTGATTGTTTATTGCCATATTGCCAATGACTCCAATGACTGCTCAACTCCAAAACACGGATTCAATGAAAACGACTAATGACCTGAGAGGAGCAGCTTTTGAGTTTTGGGCGAAAAGCCAACGATACTATTCAGCTGATGTTGAAGGACAGACAGTTGCCTTGCTACCTATTCAGGTCGCTTCGCGACGGCAACCGCCCGCACCGCATCGTTGGGAACGGTCCACACTGTTAATGATGTCAGCCATTGTTCTCTTCTACTGCCATTGTTCTCTTCTATTGCCGTCGCTCCGCGACAAGAACCCCTGTGCGGCCGCCACGGTTTGAACGATGTTGTTCTCACACCTTCGCGACCGCTCGTAACTGCCAATGATGTCGGCCATTGAGACCAAAAACATCCGAAAGTACTGACTGATTGTCGGAAAAAAAAACGCGAAGAATTTGATAGCCATGTATAGCGGACCAACGCAGTTCAAAAAATAACGAAAAACATGAAAAAACGGCGAAGTTGCTGTTATTTACAGTGTTTTTGCGCGGTGAGAAGCAGAAACCACTGCAAATACCATGGTTTTTGAGGGTCAGGTGGCCAAAAACACTGTAATTTACAGTGTTTTTTTAACCAACGTCAAAAAAACACTGGTATTTACGATGTTTTCATTCACACCGTAACATAAAACAGGGTAATTTACGATGTTTTTGGAAGTTTTGAAGCTAGCCGTCAAGCATGCAGAAAACAGAAAAACACTGTAAAAACCAGTGTTTCTGCTATCACAAAACGACGAAAATCAGTCCGAAAACGGGTCCAAAAACTCAAAAATCCGCCTCCGGGCCAGGCCACCTGCGGAACCGCAAAAAAAGATGTTGCAAACCAAAAAATTGAGGTCAAAAAGTTGAAAAACACGTTTTTTTTTCACTTTTCGCTTGCCGATTTTGGACGGACGCGTTCACGCCGTACTGTTTTTTACAGTGTTTTTTGAAGGCGAGCGTCACGACCTATCAAAAACAGGAGGTTTTGGCCGAAAAATGCCCCCCCCCAGGTAAACCTGTAACCTTTTACGAGTGCCATCCGGACGATCACGCCCCAGCACCTTCGGTGCGGGCGGATTTCTACAGCAAAAATGACTTTTAAGAAACCAGTCTAATGAATCACTTTGTGAACATACATTTGTAGCATTTGACCTTTGCCAAGTCCTGTTTCTAGTGTGGGTGAGGACTTCTTTGAGCTTTGGCAGATCAAAGATGTTGTTTCCATCGGTCTGGGCCTCAGTGTCCACTTTTTGCATCAGTGCCATCTGATTGGTTTGCATGTTTTACTTGCAGAGACACTTTGGCTGTTTTGACTACAAAGTCAGTGCCACAATGACTTCTTGACATTCGGTCGCCTGAGCTGGCAAATTGCCACATGAAACGGATGGCCTTGTTTTCACTCCTGTGGGCTGCTCAGTTTCATTAGCTGACACTCACAAACCCTGCACAAGACACAGGCTAAGAATGGCCACCGGCATGTCCATGTTTTGCATGTTTTAATGGAGAGAGATCTGTGTCTGAAATCTTCTCCTTCGAGAGTATTTGAGAGTACTGACAGTTTACCGACACGAATGTGGACAGGTCATGGTACCGTATGCGCCGGGAACATGCCCTGCACTCTTGAAGTGGAAGCCCGCGCACATGAATACGGTGGATTTCAAACTGGAGGTGTGCCAAATCAGTCCAGGATGCGAATCCGAGAATCCACGTCTTAAAGATGCTTTGGGATTGCGGGGCTGGGACCATCTGGGACCTGCAGTTTTGCAAAAGAGGTTGTGTTTGGCGATGGAAAGAACATGCACGCTGGACTCTTAGCGCTTCAATTTGCACAGTGTTCACGTCAACCCTCTGTTCACGTCCAGTTGAGCCAAAGGTGTCCTTGTCATTTGATGCTCAGGTCAAGCTGCTCGTTGGCTACAAGGCTTCTCACAACTGGCGGGTACGAGGCTTAATCGCAGCAAGCCTTCAGCTTTTCGGACATTTCAGCCTAAATGCATATCAGCCACTGGCCAACCACAAGTCAATCCAGCGATGCGCACTTGGTACAATGTTATTTTCCTCTGCATGGATTCTTGCCAATTCATGACACGAGAGTGAAACAGTGGGCATGCGGCGAAAACTCAACACTGACGGCTTCGTGCATCCAGCACTGAAAACTCGGTCCACCTATTCTCTTCCCAACATTAGAGCTATCAGTGGCTATCAGCTTGGTTACACTATGTTACACTCATGACTCATAACCAATCTTAAGGGATCAATACTGATCAATGTTGTCAGCTTGTAAAATATGGCCAGCTTCACCCGCCAGTCCTGTATTCAGAAAATGGTTTGATCATGGAAGTTCCAGGACAGTGGCCCATGATTTGGTTTGCCCTACGGACCACATTATTCGTTCGTGTTCATTTGACGAAAGCAGTGCTGAGTCCCAAGATGTTGCGTAATCGTAATCCCCAGTAATCCCCATAACTGAAAGGTGTTCACTTGTTGCCTTGGAATTTACGCAGTTTTGAGATGACTGCCGAATGCAGAGTGAGACTTTGTTGGCAGACGGGTTGCAAAGGTCAAGTTCTCCGGTCATTGGCTAGCGAAGACAGGTAAAGCCTTCAAGCAGCTTAAGGAGGTCGCTGGCATGTAGTGAGCATGTAGTGAGCATGTAGTGAGCATGCAGGTCAGAAATGGTCAGAAATGGTCAGAATTCATGTTTATTTCATGTTTTTCATGCCTTCTGATGTTGGAGCTACTGAGAAACTGACGACCTTATTCTCACGAGACTGTCGGCCCCTGCAGCCTTTTTTTTGAACACTGTAGGATCCAAGCCGCTTCAACGGAAAAATTGGAGAATGCAAATGGCATCCTGATGCGAAAACCTTCACGCCTACAGACCCTGTAAAGTGGGGTCCGCAGAATCTGCGATGAGATGTAATATAGAGTGCTTGGCAGTTTGTGTCGCTGCAAGTTGGGTTTTGTATGGTTTTGTGATCTACATCGACCTTCTCTGAATTCAGGTTTACCATGAACGGCGCTTGGGAAGATGGCGGCTGGGTTTTGGAGCGGTTGAGAGAGGACTCAATAGAGAGGGCAAGTGCAAAGTAGTCGTGGATTCTTGGGGTTTGTGGTCAATCGGAGCTGTTTGATTGAAAGCTTAAATAAGATGCTTAGACACCGCAGAGATTTCTCGCTGATCACAGGCTGATTTTTCTCAAGGCTTTATGGTTCAAGCACCCATTGTGCTGTCCGTTGTGCTGTGCGTTTGTCGTCATGTGGGAGGGATCGTTGCTCTTGGGACAGCCGGTGAGTCCAACGTCGTCAAATTGGTCGGAGAAGGACGAATCAGAAGACGCGTCTTTGGACACTTGCTTTTTGCATCTTTTTGCACTCTACAACTCCGATCCAATTCCAGTTTGAGAAGCCTCCTAAAGGTTGACACATAGACTTTGCAGGAGCTTCCTATGGAGCTGCTTCCTCTGCTTCTGGAGCGAGCAACCAACTACTTTGTGGGACCACCGTGACCCAGCTTGACCAGACACATCCAGACACCTGTTAGAGCTTTGGAAGAGTGGTTTGAATTGTGTTGGTTTCTCTTGGCAACAGTCCTTGGTGAGCAAAACATCGGTGCAATATGTGATTCCCCTAGCAATGTTTGTGAGCAATAAGATGGCAATAAGCGTGTGTGTAGAATCTTTGCAACTGCCGATCCAGGATAGCAGCGGCGGTTGTTTTTCTTCTTATACTTGATGGTGTGGGCGTCCCGGTTGCAGTGGGCAGCTCTACTACGGTGGTGCCAGTGGTGTCGGACTACATCGTTCCTATCATGGGTCTCAGTGCCATTTTGGCTGCCGGAAGCTCAGGCTGTCCAGGCTGTCAGGGCTGTCAGGGCTGTCAGGCCTTCGACTGATCGCAGCTTTTCTCCAGCTCAGTGCCTTGTTGAGGTGCTGGCCTTGGCATTCATCCTGGTTGGACCCACTGGAGAGATCAGACGAAGTCCACAAAGCTGCTATCCAGTCCCTGATCGGGCGAGAGATATTGTGTGGGGAAGGACAACGGAGGAGGTGCATTCAAATATTTGTGGTTTGGATGGGCAGACCTACTGCAGCTTGGCTGCACTCTGTGCACTTGAAGTCCTTAAATGGTCTTCGATGTGAGCAAGTTCTGAGCAAGGGTGGCAGTCTGCCATAATTCAGTCAAACTTTGCAAGATGTGGAACCTGCAACTGGCCAAGGTACCAGGTGTTTTGTATGGCGACCCTCTGGATCGCATCATTGCAGAGTTTGCCAGCGGTGTGTGTCAGGTTGGGAGACCCAGTCTAAGTTGCTTCTCCCTCCAGGAGGAATCTATCGACTCTACACTTTTTCTATCTTTTTCTAGAGAGCTCAAGAGATCCATGTAGGTTTTGAGCAGAACCATGGCGTGATGCTGAAGACTTGCGAGGATTCGATCACCATTGCAGCTTCTTCGGCCGCTGCATCACCGCGCGAAACATGATATGCTTTCAGTTGATAATTGGGCTTCTGTTTCTGGCGTTTGCTGCTCAAGCACTCACCTTGATGTTGCTTTTCTGCATTTGGATGTAGCTTGAGGGGTTGTCCTTTGGACATTTTATTTCACCCCTACATCCAACCCGAAATGAAGAAACCATCCTGTAAAACAACCTGGAAAGGTTCGGCACTTTTCTACTTAACACCTGCATATTATATACGAGGGGGCAAAAAAGTAGGTTGGCGGACTTCTAAGTCAGACACACATTACCCGTGTTGTGGCATGATTCCATGCACCTCTTGAAGCTCACTGGGTATGATTTGCTGCACTGGTACACGCACCCTAAATCTGGATGATTTTTGTCAACTTCCATGTATGATTCGCATGGCGAATAGAGTGGTCGGAGTGCTTTTGGCCTTCAAGCTCGAAGTCCAAGTGTTCCGATTTGCAAAGCTTTTCTTGGCTTCTTGAAGGGAAATCTGTGCCCAATATGCCCACATTATCCCACATTGCTCACGCTGGTCAGTTGTCTCATAACGAACCCAGGATCGCCTACACCGCACCGAGTCCGGCTGCTTCAGCGCCGGTGCCTCTGCAGTATCCGAATCAGCCCTACCAAAGTGGCTACCCACAGCCCACGTACAGCCAAGCAATAAGCTACCACAGCTACCAGCCAAACTACAACTAGTATCAACATGTATCAACTAATGAATATTGATATGAGAAGACTTTGTGACTTTGTTGACCCTGTTGACTAGCAGGACTGAAACCTGTGTCAATAGTTTGGCTGGAAGATTTTGCACTGGTTGATCTGTCTTCGAGCAACGGATCCAGTGTTATCCCAATGAACCATTTTAGTGCAAGCTTGCTCAAAGCCAACAGCAAAGCTTTGGAAATCAGCACTTAGCCTCTGCGGAGATTTGTGGTGGATTTGTTCCTGGCAAAGTCAGGATGCACTTTCCCAAAGGGATAAACACCTGAACGAGAGACAAATGGAAAGCAGCGAAAAGAGATGAAAAGAGTGTCAAGACAGGACATGAAACGGACATGAAACGTCAAGGCGACCGTCAAGGTGTCAAGGTAGTTGTTCAGTTCTTTGAATCCGTTGGCCGGTCATGACCTCTCCATTTTGTGCCACCTGTCTCATGAGCAGGACAAACACGAGCCCAACGATTACAGAACTGCCAAGAGAGTGGTGGAATCAATTGAGGATGCGCTGACTGAAGAGGACATGGCTGCCAGAGTGAGTGGTCCCCTGATGATCTGTCAGTACTAGGCCACTAGGCATTCGCAGCCTGAACAAATGATGCCTTTCTTTAGAGCTTCTGCCTGTTTGCCGAATTATTATGGCTCAAGAACGGGACTAGCTGCTTCTTTGTGCCTGCCAAGATACGTAGCGAGACTTGCTAGCTCGGCTATATGTGCACATGGGTCGTTTGAGTAGCTCGGCTGCTCTTCTGCTTTCTTGGTTTTCTTCGTGTGTTTGGGTTTGTGAGCTTGTTTTTATTTGTTTTTCACAGTTGAATACATCACTGCCGAGGCCATTCCATGAATGCTCCCGAGGATGCAGATCCGGAGAAGATGCAAATTATCTTTGGTCCAATTTCTGACAAAATCAATGACCGTCCACCTCAATCTCTTCACATTTGGACTCGAGAGGGCTCGAAGTTTTTTTTGAGATGTTTGAGTGCTTGGAGACTCTGGAGCATTGGACAAGCACAAGAGCTTCGGCGAGCAAACCGCTTGGCTTTGAGTCGACATTTGCGTTCGCTGCTCCGCTCCTGGAGACGGACCGTTAGAGAGTTGCTGCAAGTCGAAGCTTCTAGGGCGCAAGAGCTGCTGCGGCACCAGGAACGGAAGAAGCTGCGTTATGTTCGTAGCATGCTGCACCTCAGGGCAAGTTGCTTCAAGATGCGGACATTCAGCTGGACTGCACGGGTTGCTCAACTGGCTCAACTTGCTCTTTTAGAGTGGCACATGGCAAGTCGAGTCTCTCGACTTGCCCGCTCAGTGTCCCTTAGAGAGAGAAAAGAAAGCTTTAAGAAGGTCCTGATATGTTTCAAAACCGCTGTGCGGAATGGGCAAAGCGCTCGTCGTGTAGCTCAACAGCAGCATGTGAGGTTGCTAGCTGATGTGGTTCTGTCTTGGCAGCACGCAGTAAAGCTCAAAGCTGAGCGAACGCAGCTCTTCCAAAGCAAAGCTAAACACTTGAGAAACCTCAGGTTGAGGCAGAACCTTGTGACATGGCACAATCAGTTTCAATTCCTCAATCGGGAAAGGGTGCGAGAAGCTAGCATAAGAAGCAATCGCAGACTCCGCATGTTGTTGCATGCTTTTACCTTGCTGAAAGATGCACGGAAGCTCGCGCAGAAGACTCGAAAGGTACTCCAGAAGCTTAGAACACGTCAGGCTCAGCAGGGTCTGCAAGCATTGAAGCTGAACGCAGATCGGTTGAGGAGAATGCGAGCAGTCTCTAGCAAGCAGAAGTGCTTTGTTTCCCGGAACAGGCTCAAGTCTTGGAATTTGCTTTACCATTTTCTTGAAAAAGTCACAAAGTTGGCTGCAACACAACAACTCTTCGCTCAGCAGCTCTTGGCGCTTTGGCTTCACGGTTGCGTAGTGTCGGAGATTTTTTGCAGTTGGCAAAGTGCTGTCAAGCTTTTGATCAGAGAAGCTCAAGCAGCGGAGTTTCATCGGATGTCTCTAAAACGACATACGGACTCAGTCTTTCAGGCATGGCTGGCCAGTGCAGAACGTTTGAAGTTGCAGCGCAGGACAAAGTTGAGGCGGTTTGAGCTTTTGTGGGTGGGTCGTTTCATACTTGCATGGCAGGGACACCTTGTAAATTTGCATTTGATTGAACTTCATCGAAAAGAACAGCTCCTGAAGGCGGCCAGACAGATTCTTCTGGTTTGGCAGCACAATTGCCATGCACTTCGGCAGTTCCGTGTGATGCAGCTCCGCAAATCTTTCCAGCTCTGTGCTCCAGCTTTCTGCCTTTGGCGTGTGGTTAGACTGACTGAGTGTATCAAGAGCACTGCCGAGAGACAATTGCGAATCTGGACACTGTCATCATGGGCGCAATGGGCAGCCTTGCGACGGCAAGTAAGGGATGACGTTGCATGGCAACGTTGGGCAGATGGCATCGTAGATCTTTTTACCACGCGGAGATTGCTGCTGGGCCTGCCAACTTGTTTTGCTTCCTGGTCTCATTTCCATCGGTTCAGAAAGGCCAGGATGACCCTGGCTTTCAACAAACAGCTTCAAAAGGACAGGCAGATTGCGCAGATCGGCCTTTCAGCTCTGCGACGCAACCTCGCTCTATCGCGATTCAGCAAAGTCGATCGATTGCTTAGAAGGGTGCAAACGAGTCAGATGCTTCAGCTGCTTTTGCATTTGAGGAAGGTTTCTCGGATCTCTTCCCAATCTGATACAGTTGCTGCTCTCCACCGGCGTCTCTGCAAAGTTAGAGTGCCTTTGCTGCAAAAAGTATCTTGAATAAAGATGATGGCTAAAGTCTTGCTTTGGCATCAAGATTTTCTAACAATAGAGCAATCCTTACCAAGTTGCAAGTTCTTTCGTGCGCTCTCATCTCTAGGCATTGCGGGGATTACATCGCGTCTATCAACAGAGGCTGGGTATGGCCTCCGTTTGAAACTCAGTGCAGCAGTCATGTCAGCTGGCACAGGCGCTCTTGCACACAGATGGCAAAGATCCTGACGTCAAATCTGCAGCGGTGGAGCCTAACCAAGATGAGGCCTCGGGTCCCACCATGTCCCACCCCAACTATGGAATCATCTCCTATCAACAGCGTTCAACCGTTGATTTTGTTGACGACCTTGGGGCGCCTTGGGTATCCTTTAGATATGTCTATACGTAAACATATCGAGCATGTGTTGCGGCAGGTATGTGCAGAACTTGATGGATTCCACATCCTTGGCAGTTGCAGAGGCTTTGAACAGGATAGATAGAACTCCTTCGCTGTAACTATGTAATGCTGCCCATTTTTCCCCCCACTGAGCAATCGAGCACACTGCGATTAAGATGTTTCCAACTTTCATGCCGTTTCACATCTTATGAACATCACCTGCCCGTCATGCCTGTCATGTGTCTCTCATGTAGGCCTGCCGCCTGCGATCCTTGACCGTTACCTGGAGCTGTTGGTTGAAGGTTCGGCAGATTTTGCATTCGCAGGTCGAGCTTTGCAGCTGAAATGAACGGAAATCATTTCAGGCAGTGCAAGCTCAAGTACGAAGAAAGTGGCTGCCAGCTTTGTTTGCGGAGTGGTGCAGGGTCGGATCCTCACT